AGACCCTATTTTCTCTCTCTCCCATATCAGAAGGCAGAAAAGAAAAAACTATGTGGTTTAACAGTCTATCCAAGGCGTCCCATTATAGAGTTACTCTCTTCTCAGAACCAACAGATATGGTCTGAAGGACATCAGCTCTATCGTCAGATCCATGGGAGTATGTCTAGACTACACGCTTGTTTCGAAAGAAGCTTTTTCGAAAGAATCTTTCAAAAAAGCTTCTTTCGAAAGAGATCGTCTAGACAGCCACTACTTTTTCAAAAAAGTGATCTGCTTTTTTGAAATAGCACCCAGACAATCTGGATGCTCTCTTTTGAAAGTCCTGTTTGTGATCAAGAACACCTCAAAAAAATGCGTTCTTGTAAAATGAGGTTTATCGCTGTTGAAAAAGCTGACAAGTTCTTTCAATTTAATTTCAAAAGAACGCAGTGACAGTCTAGATGCAGGTGAAGTGTTTTTTTTTTGTTTTTTTTAAAGGCCACTTTTTTGAAAAAACCCTGTAGTCTAGACGTAGCCTGAAATTCTGTTCTCCAGTTCCTTTAAGGAAGCATTTCAGCCCCTTGCACCTGGCCCACTTCTTGGCTCCACTGCAGATTCAGGACCTGTACAAGAAAGCAAGCAGGGATTTTAAGTGGCAGCAGCAATGCCCATCTACCTCAGCCTCATTATTGCAATCACACCGATACTCAAGAGGCCCCAAAAAGAACTTTGGAAGGTGCACTTGAGAGCACTTATGCCAGTTTCCCAAGATAGAGGAATTTTATACAGAATTCAACCCCTGATGCAAATCTGAGCTCTGGAATCCAAGCTTTCATGCAAAACTGAACCAAATCTTTTTTATGGTTTCAAAGAAAGATTTAAAAACATGAGCTGATTACCTCATGCTTATTCCAAATCATTCCACCTGCTGTTCCTTCCTGGCTCCAAAAACTTCAACTATCAAAACTTATATTTTTCTCCCTCCACCCCGATAATGTTACTATAAATACTATACTATAAATAAAAAAATAGAGCACAATATTAGTATAAAATTCTCTTGTGTATTGGTACTGTAGGACAGAATAAAACAAACTGAACAAAATAAAGAAAAAATACAAGTGGTGCTAGTTGCATTAGTCATGTTGATATTCATTAAATGACCTATTTTCTTTATCAATTAAATAGTGTTTCTCATGGGAAATTAAACATTAAACCTGTTTTTCCATAATTTACACTAGCTAGCACAGACTTCTTAAAACTTCATCTAGGTGTTGTTTTTAACATGCGAAACCCAAAAGGGTCCTAAGTGACCCTAGCTAATAATCCCCTAACTTATATGAGAAGCTGCTGAATGTAGGACATACTCTTGAGATCCTCTGGTCTGGAATGCATTTCTTTTCTCCCTTTTTCTTCTAGATCCTGGCTTTTTTTAAATGAATAGAAAACTAATGTTCAGGCTGAACTTCTCACTTTAATTCTGACTGTTCCAGCAACATCTGTGGTCCGGCATGATTTTAGTTAGGTGGATGTTCACTTATCCTGGTTGTGGCCAAGTTTCCTGCGATCCCATAAAGTTTGTTTACAGACACCTGTCCTGGTTCTGTGCTTTTATTGAGCTCTAATTTACCTCTAAATGTCTTCCAAAAGCCAGCAGTGTAAGTGTTGGTAATGCTGCTAGACAATATTTACCTCTGGTGGTCCAGCAAATGCTCTGGTTCAGCACCGATCAGATCCCAAGGGTGCTGGACTAGATAGGTTTAACCAGTATCTGTGAATAATTAGTTACATAAATGTGTATAGATTTCAAAAACTAGTATAGTTATGTGAAATATAAGTCTCAGAAATTGTTCAGTACTGAAGGTGTTAGATGAACCCTTTTGCTTCAGTGGAAGGTGGCAGAATTCACTTGGTACATTGATATTTAAAAACCATGCATTTGGAATATGGGGTGACGTTTAACTTGTATTTGTCCTGGCCACTAGATACTTCTCCAGTATGCAAACCATTATTATTGTGTTAATGTGTGCTGCAAGATATCATCTGAGAATTTAGACTTCTGCAGAAACTGTCTGGACTTGTCTACACTATTAAATCCAACTGTTGCTAGCACTTATTGTCAATAGTAAGTTTAACTGAATCTGTATTGAAAACTCTTTTTGTTCAAATTGCACACAAGGTTGAACTGTGTTAAAACTGTTTTAGCACTCACTCAGGAGATTTTAATTACAGTTTTGGAATTTATGCCAAACAGAGCATGTTCCTGTTTGCTCTTAAAATATAAGAGTTTTAATTACAGATCCAGCTAAACTCACTATCAATAACAGTTTTTTCCTAGAGTAAACAAGGCTTTAAAACCTGAGGTTGGAGTGCAACAAAAATAAATAAATAAATAAAATCATAGAATGCTAGAACTGGAAGGGACCTGGAGAGATCATCCTCACAGCAGGACCAATCACCATCTAGATTATCCTTGATAGATGTCTACCCAGCCAGCTCTAAATTAGGATTGTTAAAGACTAGTCGACTATTTGATAAGCATTTGCATAGTCTTTTGACTAGTCGATATCACACACTCCCCCCTTGCTGCTTTTAGAAGATAGAGGCAGCAAAAGGGGGGGAGGGGTAATTCAAAGTGGCAGTGCTGCACAGCAGCACTGCCCCTTTGAAACTCCAAGGCAGCTGCTGCACAGCTGATCCATGGATCAGCTGTGCAGGAGCCTGCCCCTTTGAAATGTGCAGAGGCGACGTTTTAAAGAGACAGCTGCTGTGGGGCCCAGGGTCAGTTGGGTACTGCGAATCCCCCCGCTGACCCTAGGCTCCATGGCTTTGAAACACATAGGAGCCTCCACTGGGGACTTGTATGCACTTCAAAGCAGACACGTCACGTGCAGCCCAGAGTCAGCGGGACTTCCTGCTGGCCCCGGGCTGTACACAGAGTTCCGCATTCCGCCTTTGAAATGTACAAGACCCCCAGCAGGGGGCTCTTGTACATTTCAAAGGAGAAATGCGGAAGTGCCCATCGACTAGTCAATGGAAATTCCATTGACTAATCAATGAACCACATTTTAACATCCTTACTCTAAAAATCTCAAGTGCTCAAGATTCCACAACCTCTCTTGGCAATTTATTCCAGTGTTTAACTACCCTGGCAGGAAGTTTTTTCCAATATCTCTCCTAAGCCTTCCTTGCTGCAATTTAAGCCCATTGGGCATGTTTAAGTCAAATGTGTATGAGTGTCTAATTATGCAATAAAATAGTAAATTATGTGAGCTTAATTCATGCAGAATGTGTTAACATAATGCTCTAAGTTACACTAGGCATGTATTAATGTGACACAACTACATGCTATATTTTATTAGTAAATGTTCCACTTAGGTAAGAATTCTTAACCTTAATGAATATATCAATCAGATCATTTTTTAAAATTGTATTTATTTATTTTTGCCTTTTTTTTCCCTATATATTTTCTCACATGGACAACAGTGATCCTTTGGCAAGAATATTTATTTTACCTCTAGCTCCTCAGCTTCTTATAACTGCTGTTTTCTGTTGCTGCTTTTCAAGAAAGTACATTTTGGGGAAAATTAGATGTTTCAAGGACTTAGTAATTGGGTATAGATCTTGCATCTTAAAGTTGCTTATATACATTCTGCTAAGGTAATGATTGAAATTTGCTGCCCTCTGATAGTCAGTGGCCTGTAAGATATTTTATCTTAGTCCATTTTCCAAAGGATTGGTATAAATGGTACAGAAATCACCACTGCGGTTGACACTAAATGTGTGTCTCCCTATGTCATAACAAAGATGTAATTAAATGAATTGTCCTCCCATCTTCTAGATGTTGTCTTGATTAGAGTCAGGATATATGTAAAGTGTGCAGTTGGGAAGTTTACACAAATGTTCAGAGTGCTGTATCTGGTTTGTTTATAGATGAATTAAGTCTCTGGATTTGTGAGTCTGGCAACTTTTCATAACTATTACGTTCACATGAAGAAAATAATTCTTTTATCTGCTATTTTAATCTTCCTGAATCATTTAGCGAGCAAATTCAAGACTTTGACACATAGCATCTCTGTTTTGGTATTTACCCATGGAAGGAAGAGAATGGTTATATATTATATATCAGAGATGTTACAAAGCAGGCAGCAGATGCAGCAGTGTGGGGTAGCAGGTGGAAGGAAGCCAGTTTAAAAACAGGCTCCCCGTGTAGACCGGCTCCCACAGGTGAACAGCAACCCCTGTCAGCGTTGGGCCCGAGCTTCCCATGTTCTTCATTGAGCCTGCCAGTAGGAGTTATCAGACTGAGCCAGCCTGCCGGTCCAAGTTTTAAAAGCAGAACATGTAGCTGATAGGGGGAGGTGTTTCAGTTAAACAGCTAGCTGAGTAGCCATTAACATCCCTATTGTAAATATTCATTGAAATAGGATGAGATGCTTCAAAGAATTACTGTGTTGATATTTGGTATATTGTGTTTAGGAATATTAATATTAATCCAGTGCTTAAGTAGAATATAGATTTGTATACTGTGCCAGTAGAAAATTAATTATTGTATAGTAGTAGTACACATGCATGGCTAAATATCAGTTGCTGTACCCTAATTAGTAGCCTGTGAGTTTCTTTAACATTTGTATTTTTTGTTGAAAGAAAGAACATTAATCAGAGCTCTCAGGTTAATTTGTTGCTTCTGAAAAGCATAATAAGTACTTTAAATTTGACTTGGTTAACGACAAGAGATAACCAGTGTAGACACTGGGTTTTTACTTTTCATTTAAAGAATACCCCCAAACTTCATTATTAACTTTGAGCATGAGCCAGATATCCTGAGCCGGGTTGAAAAATTCTGTTTTGTATATAGAAAGCCTTCTGATCTGGCAGGTAGAATACTACCAACAAAATTTATACTAATAAATACATAGAAGACTAAAAAATTTAACTTTGTATTTAATCATGATTTGTTCCCTTTTAAAGCATCTATACTTGCTCATTTTTAAATAAAACATTTTAATTGTTTTTCTTTTAAGACTGTGAGCCAGAAGAACTGACTGACTGGTCTATGGATGAAAAATGTTCCTTTTGTAACTTACACAAAGAAACAGTCAGTGTAAGTATGAATGTGATATAAATGGTTGAAACTGATCTTTTTCATATATTGGGTCTAAAAATAGAGTTTCAAGAATGACATTTTCTATATGTATTCACATTGTTTCTTTTGGCCAGAGAGGAATGTTAAGTTGGCTCTATAACAGAAATCTTTTTAGTGTGTCCCTCACATACAGTACAAACTTTTTTGTTTTCTGGCACTTTTTAATATCCAGAAGACTTGGTTAACTGGCATTTATCATAGATGGCAATACAATTCCTCCTTCAGTTAACTGGAAAAACTCTGATAGCCATCCAGCATAATTTTTCAACATTTTCCGGTGCTTGCACAAGTTAAGTTTGTAAACTTGCAGCAGCAAAATTGGTACATTTTGTGCTTCTGAGTATAATGCAGTACCACTATTGGATACTGTATTATCTAACCCATCCTGCAACTTATATCAACAAACAAAGGACAGAAAAGAAAATGTGTTCTGTTGCCTATAACCCAGAAATTGGACCTAATTAGATGACTTCAAAGAGGAGTAAACAGGAACCAGTTGATTTAAGAGTTCAGCATTGACTCAATGATGAAGTATGATGATAAGGTGCAGAAGGCAGAGTTGATGAAATTCATGTCAAGTGCTGAGACAAGCAAAGTAACTGAAAAGGGTTCCAGTTTTGGTTTGTGCAAATTACAGCAATTAGACAATGTACTCTACCATTGGTTTTCCTTAAAGCGTTCTGAGGCTACATCTAGACCGGAAGTATCCCAAAATAGCAATCCTGCTTTTTAAAACGTGCCTAAATATATTTCAAAGTAGATACTCCCACGGTGTCAGTACGCACTTGCATGAAATTGATGGGCCATCTGGCTGCTACCACTTTTGTAGTTCTTCTTCGAGTGGTTGCTCATGTCCATTCGAATTAGGTCCATTTGAATTACGTGCGCACCACGTGCACCACGTCTTCCGGAGCGTTTTCCCTAGCAGTACTCGTAACGCTGGCAGGGCGCCCCCTGGAGTGGCGCCGCCGTGGTGGGGCATAAGTCCCCCTGCCGGCGCTGTCCCACCTCAGTTCCTTCTTGCTGCCCGTGACGGTCGTTGAAGCGTGTCTCTCTCTCAGATCAGTTAATGGTTCCCGTTTCTCTTAGCATTGTAGATAGTTCTGAATAGTTCAATTAGTTAGATAGTTAGTGTCTCTTTGTTTTTCCTTCTCCCCCTTCAGGGGGTGAGGAATGCCAGGGCCGCAAGGCTTTAAGGCGTGTGCTGTCTGCGCAAAGTTCATGCCCAAAGGAGACCCTCACAACAGTTGTCTGAAGTATCTGGGTGAGGGCCATCTTACAGACGCCTGTAAGATCTGCAAGTCTTTTAAGCCACGCACTAAGAAGGAGAGAGACTCTTGTCTAAAACTTCTCCTCATGGAGGCGGCTTTACAGCCAGCACCAGCTGGGCACTCTGCAGTGCACGGTGCACCGGCGTCCACGTGAGATGGCAGCGTGTACGTATGTGGTACGCCATGCTCGAATGAGGCTCAGGCCTCTGCAGACCTGTTTGGCAAAGGTATTCAACCAGTCCAGGGGTCTCTGGGACACGGTTCTCACAGTGCCTCCGGAAGTGATAGCCTCCTTACAATGGTGGACTCAGAAGGAGGTGGTGTGCAGCGGGGTTCCCTTCACTGTACCTCCCCCCTCGCTTACACTGGTCACAGATGCCTCGGACCTGGGTTGGGGAGCACATCTGGGGTGTCACAGGACCCAGAGTCTCTGGTCCCCTGCAGAGCGGGCTCTGCACATAAATGTCTGGGAGCTCAGGGCAGTCAGGAGAGTACGTGAGACCTTCCTGTTGAAGCTCTCTCGCCGCTCTATCCTGGTCCGCCTGGACAACACGGTGGCTGTCTTTTACCTCAACAGGCAGGGGCGAGCCCGATCACCTCCCCTCTGTCGTGAGGTCCTGTGTCTCTGGGACCTGGGCATAGAGCACGACATAGTTTTACAGGCAGAGTACCTGCCGGGGTGCAAAAACTTGCTGGCCGATGCTCTGAGCAGGTCCTTCGGAGCCCACAAGTGGTCTCTCAAGTATTTGGCTCTTCGTCAGATCTTCCGCAGGTGGGGCTGTCCCCTATTAGACCTGTTTGCCTCAGCATGCAATACCAAGTGTCAGAGTTACTGCTCCCTGTTGGGACTGGGGGAACACTCCTGGGGGGATGCCATGATGGTGACGTGGCCGGTGGGCATCCTCTATGCTTTCCCCCCGTTTCCCCTAATTCCCATGTTTCTGACCAGGGTCAAGACCTTCAGGTCCACTGTCATCCTGATAGCCCCTCGGTGGCCCAGACAATTCTGGTTCCCTATACTGGTGGACATTCTCAGCAAGGAGCCTATAACGCTCCTGCCAGCTCGGGATCTCCTGACCCAACCTTGGGATGGGGGGACCATGGTTCACCCGAATCTCAGCTCTCTCCACCTGACGGCCTGGTTTATCTGTGGCTGACCCAACCAGAAAGGGAATGTTCCCAGGAGGTACAGATGGTGCTCCTAAGTAGTAGGAAACCGTCTACCAGGGGGTCATACGCACACCATGGCTTAACAACCAAGGAAAAGAAGCACTGAGAGATAAAAAGCCCTAATTTAAAAATAGGAATTCTAATGAGGAAAATAAAAGGCATCATAAATTCTGTCAAATTAAGTGAATTAGGAAGGCAAAAAAAATTTGAAGACCTGCTAGCCCAAAATGCAAAAAGTAATAGCAAAATGTTTTAAAGTACCTCTGAAGCAGGAAGCCTGCTAAACATCCAGGGGGGCTCACTGGATGATCGAGATGCTTAAGGGGTCTCTGGAACATGGTTCTCACAGTGCCTCCAGAGGTGATAGCCTCCTTACAATGGTGGACTCAGGAGGTGGTGGTGTGCAGTGGGTTACCTTTTTGAACTTAGATCCAGTGGCCTCTCTACCTCCTCTGGCAAAGTCCATGTGGCATCTCTCTCCACCTTCCATGTTGGTTCGGCAGGAGTTTCACTGTTTTCTGACCCTGTGGTCAAAAGGTTCCTTAAGGGTTTGGATAAGTTGTATCCCTCGGTTAGACCCCTTCTCCCCGCTTGGAACCTCGTGTTGTCTAGACTTGTCGCCCCCCCCCCCATCTTTGAGCCGCTGGCCACGTGTTCTTTGAAGCACCTCTCTATGATGTTTGCATTCATTGTGGCCATTACGTCGGCGTTAAGTTGAGGGCGTTAACTGTAAACCCGCCCTACCTAGTGTTTTCTGACGATAATGTGAGGATCCGCCCTCATCCAGCCTTTCTCCCCCAGGTGGTGTCACCATTCCATTTGTCCCAAGAAATTTACCTCACTGTTTTCTTTCCAAAGCCCCACACCTCCCCTAAGGAGCAAGTGCTCCATTCCCTGGATACTAGACGTGCACTAGCTTTCTATATTGATAGGACTAAACCCTTTCGCAAATCCACACAATTGTTTATCGCTGTTGCTGACAGGATGAAAGGGCTCCCCATATCGACCCAGAGGTTGTCCAATTGGGTCGCAGGGTATATCAGGGAGTGTTTATGCCTTGGTCGGGAAAGTCCCGCCTCGGGTTACAGCACATTCCACTAGGGCGCAGGCGTCCTCTGTAGCTTTTGGGGAGCAGGTTCCAGTCACTGAAATCTGCAAGGCGGCCACGTGGTCATCGCTCCATACCTTTACGGCGCACTACGTGCTGGCACAGCAGGCCAGGGAGTCCTCAGCTCTGTATTATAAATGTGTGTTTTTGTTATTTGGTAGGAACATTGCGGCTGATGGGATGGAACTCTTGCCATGAGGTTGTGAGGCTTCATCCACCATGTGAAGGACTTGCGGATGTAAGCTGGGGGCTCTACTATCTTTTGGATGCTGTGCCTTGAAGGTATATATATGTACGCTAGTCAGTGCTGGCTGGAAGCATCAAAAACGTAGCCGGGCATGAAGAAAAGAACGGTTACTTACCTGTAACTGTTGTTCTTCGAGATGTGTTGCTCATGTCCATTCGACTCCCCCTCCACCTCCCCTTCGTCAGAGCGTCCGGCAAGAAGGAACTGAGGTGCGGCAGCGCCAACAGGGGTACTTATGCCCCGCCATGGCGGCGCCACTCCAGGGGGCGCCCTGCCAGCGCTACGGGTACCGCTAGGGAAAACGCTCCGGAAGACGCGGTGCGCACATCTAATTCAAATGGACCTAATTCGAATGGACATGAGCAACACATCTCGAAGAACAACAGTTACAGGTAAGTAACCGTTCTTTTCTTCATGCCCGGCTACGTTTTTGATGCTTCCAGCCAGCACTGACTAGCGTACATATATATACCTTCAAGGCACAGCATCCAAAAGATAGTAGAGCCCCCAGCTTACATCCGCAAGTCCTTCACATGGTGGATGAAGCCTCACAACCTCATGGCAAGAGTTCCATCCCATCAGCCGCAATGTTCCTACCAAATAACCCCAGACGCTTCCTTTATCGGTTGGGGTGCACACATGAATGGGAGGAAGGTGCAGGGCAGGTGCAGACTCCGAAAGACTTCTTCACATAAACCTCTTAGAGCTCAGAGCTATTTTTCATGCATGCAAACACTTTCGCATCCATATCATAGGCACTGTGTTCAGGGTGTTGACAGACAACATTGCTGCAATGTATTATACCAACCGGCAAGAAGGAGCGAGATCACGTTCCCTGTGTGCGGAAGCAGTCTGTCTGTGGAACTTCTGCATCCAAAACAACATTACCATCACAGCGTCATACTTACCGGGCTCCAACAATACAATCACAGACTCTCTCTGTCGCCATTTCCCACTGGATCACGAGTGGGAAATACAAACGGACATCCTTTGCCAAATTTTCCGCAGATGGGGAACACCTCTTATAGATCTATTTGCCACTCCACACAGCAGCAAATGCCAATTTTTCTGCTCCAGGTCAGAAATCGGGAAGGGATCACTAGGGGATGTACTGTTAATCAGGTGGGAGGGATCACTACTTTATGCATTCCTTCCAACAGTA